CGTACCTCGCCGGGACTCCATTAACGAGGTCTAGGGAGTCGCCTACGCCTACTCCCTAACCCTAACCCTAACCATATCAAATAGTTACAACTTACCAGGATACGTTCCGGTAGTACCTGGGGACACTAGACCCTATGAGCTTAGGTAAAGGTGGGATATGAAATGTAGACGGTACGAATCCAAGGCATCAAATGCCAAACCAAAACATACCAGGACAGTATATTATGCAAATACTACATAGGTAGGTTGCAGCAGCCAGTGCCTAGACTAGGAGATATTGGAATTGAACTCTTAAGTCATGAAATAGAATCCATAACAGGAGCATTATCTGGTGGACAAGCATAACAACAAAACCACAAAAACAGCAACAACAACAATCAATAACAACAGGTAGCAGCAGCAGCAACAATAACAACAGCAGTATCAGCAACAAACAAAACAAACAACAACAACAACAACAACAACAACAACAACAACACAACGGCCAGCAGCAGCAGCAGCAGGCACACGCCTCATTTATTAACAGATTCTATAATATTATGGATAACATACCTAGCAACCATCTGGGAGTGGCAGCTATTTCTGGCATTTTTTGAACACAGCTGCAGTATTTTGTACTCATAGATCAAGGAAAACTTCTTTTCTATCTCTTTTCTCTATTGTGACAATCTGTTCCTTGTCAACTGCCAGGCCATGCGGCTGTTAGGCTTACCAAAACTAGGATGGTAACTATGTACGGTTAACCTGCATACGGCACTATAAAGCAATAATCATCATGCTAGTAAATGCTTTACACCATATACGTGGATATATGCCGATCATTTTCTTTTTTTCAATCGATTTCGATAGTATAAGATTTGCAAGTATAATATCAGGAAAACATATATATATGATAATAAAGATATAGTAACATTGCTATTAAATAAATTCTATTAATAATAATTCTACGTTATTCTGCAGTATTCCACATTATTTTTGGCCAAACCTCAGGTGTTCCCTACATGATTATAATTTATATCCTTACGCAGGAGGGCTTTTTATAGCAGTCTCATCATTGGAGGGTTTTAGCATGATTTCAATCTAGCTGATTATATAGGGCAGATCAGGTGAAAAGTAATGTTTTCTACCTCTGCGTTATTCTCTGGCTATAGGGACACATAGACTATAATAAACAATATTTCTACTCAAAGCGTGATTGCGCACACAGATTTTAAGCCTGTATGCATACCATCAAGAGAACATAATAGAGATATATATCTCTAATGGAGACATAATAACTCTAATTATGTACTCTTGATACCATAGATTACGTGCTTCATTAGACTACTCTTCCTTACTCCATATGCACGACCTTTTTTTTTTACAAACTTTTCAAGTTAGCTTTCCATAGCCTGCCTAATACATAGGGAGTACACGGCTGAGTCTTTTCTAAGTATTTCCTGGCTATTAATCAACATAAACAATTCATTTTTATTGCTCATATCGTCAATATACTATTATTATATAATTTATCAGATCAGTCAATTAGCCGATGTTTTGTTAACTATAAAAAACTGCTGCTATGTTAACATATGTCACTCCAGCCATGCTACAGACTAAACACATACACATACTAGATATACGGAACTCACACACATGCCATGTTCCACACTAAATCTATTATACATACATTATCATCTATATTACTAATTTTTATCTCATGCATTTAGCGCGTATCCGGCACAGCACCTCCAATATTTAGTTACTGTACATTTCGTTCCTTTACCTGCCAGTAAAATCCATACCTCAGGTGTACATGATTACCTGTGAGGCGCTCGATGCACTGCAGAATGGTCATGTAAAACACCTACGTCTCTAATAATGACCCAAATAAAGATGCAGTTATCGTGAAGCCTCCAGCACGTACATATATGCGTTGTTAGCACGACGCACGAGCACACGCACGCACGCACGCACGCACCAATATTCACACACACACACGCACGGCGCCAGCAACACACACACACCGCACGCACGCACGCACGCACGCACGCACGCACAACACCACACACACACACGCCACGCACACACACACACACACACACACACACGCACACACACGTGATAATGCATATATTATATAGAAATGAATGTATGCAGATAACAAATAAATGGTAATCACGCACCATCTAAGAAACTAAGATGCATGCCAAATTACGCATTCATGAGCACACGCACGTAGTCAGAAATGGATGCGCGCACGCCACGCAAACCACACACACAACCATGAATTAAACAAACAGAGCCTGCTTATTGCACGCTCCCGAAAACTTACCGTCCAAATCATTCTCTCTTACAGCCACTGCAAACAGCAACGCGGAGCAATCAGTAAACCCAACGACTTTCCCTCGCCAAGATAATTTACCTCTTCGGCAAATACGTCCAATATTTTCGACTAGCGCGCGCGTCGCGCAGGCCGGCCCTGCCCAGGCGAGCCGGGCTTTCTGTCACCCACTCAAGTAACACCTATAATCTCAAAAAATCGCCAGTCACGCTTGCGGTATATCATGCACGTGCATGCGCGCCACCAGTAACTCCATAAATACAACCTGCACGCTGGTTTGCGGCGGCTCGTTGTCTGACAGGTATAGCTATTCTCGACTCGCCAGTGGGATCCTCACCGAGGTAAGAGCTCTTGCTACCTGCCCACGTCACGCATCGGACCACGGCTGAGCGAGTGGCGCCGACAAAAATTTGCCACACGGGAACTTGCGATCGGCACGTTTCTGAAAACGCTGACGGTTCGTATATATCTAACATCTATATTACATTATTATTGTATTGTTAGCATCGCTATATTTTGCAGCGAGGCAATGGTCCTCGTTGACTGCCGAGCTTCATATCTCAGATTAACTGCGAGCATTCTCTGGGGTTTCCATGCAAGCGTCGGCGGTGATGACGCAATCCAGCGGAAATGGGTCATACATACGCGCTCATGCACACACGCGCTCACGCACACACGTCGCACATACGCGCTCACGCACCCACGTCGCACACACGCGCTCACGCACACATGTCGCACACACGCGCTCATGCACACACGCGCTCACGCACACACGTCGCACATACGCGCTCACGCACCCACGTCGCACACACGCGCTCACGCACACATGTCGCACACACGCGCTCATGCACACACGCGCTCACGCACACACGTCGCACATACGCGCTCACGCACCCACGTCGCACACACGCGCTCACGCACACATGTCGCACACACGCGCTCGCGCACACACGCGCTCACGCACACACGTCGCACATACGCGCTCACGCACCCACGTCGCACACACGCGCTCACGCACACATGTCGCACACACGCGCTCACGCACACACGCCGCATACACGCGCTCACGCACACACATGCACACACGCTCAGCACACATGCGCTCACGCACACACGTCGCACACACGCGATCACGCACACACGCGCTCACGCACACACGTTGCGCACACACGATAAAAAAAATCGTGAGCCCCCTTAGGTCTTTGCCCCCCGCAAATCCAAAACTGCTTCCGGCGCGCCGCATCAGCATGCTGCGAGTCGTTCCGCTGAGCTGTACTGTATGCCATATCATAGCTAAAAATGTCTTGGTTATAAATTATAGTATCATCGGGAGTGAATAATAATAGATAATCTAGTCATTATTCACTCCTGCTAACATGATGTCTGCTACACTGAATTTAAGCTTATAGGAGGTGGTTTTTTGATAGATTTTCTGATAAAATGTGCATCCTGTGACTCACGAAATACGATATTTAAGTTTTGATGTAGCAGCTTAGATGTGCGTACACTATCTCCCAGTAAATATAAGCATGTGTACTAAGACAAGTACATACATACACATACACGAAGTACAAGTGCATACTGTCCCACGGTAGCCTAATAATTAAAATGAACATATATGACTGCATAATGTGTATTTATAGCGCCATCATGTTTTATGTCATGGGTGGGTGTAGGTTTATAGCAGCTATATAGCTGCCGTTGCCGTTTGCTCGGAGACATGGGGATAGGTAGCTAAAGTCCAGTCTGACGCCATCGCTGTCTGTTGCCTTTTGTGCTGTGTCTCAGTTTAATTATCTGATTTCTTTCCAGGTGCTCTAGGCAGATCTGGTAATGGCCTGGGAAGTTTAGCTTCATGTGTCACATTGCCTGCGTGTGCTTGTTTCCCACCCACATTTCGTGTACAGTTTTTTCCCGTTGCCACAATCCCAGCCAGACAAGCAGAAAGTTGTTTTTAACGATCATATCAGATATTTGGCCAAATATCAAAAACAAGCAACCATGTTGTTTTTTGGCAGTAGCCATTTTGAATTTTTCACCTGTAAATACTGGCAGTGTTCCCTCAACAAGACCATGACCCTGAACTAAAAAGTGACTACAAGTGGTGTATATACATGCATATATACATATCACCAGGGGTTAATAATGAAAAAAATATTGACAAATAATATCAACCAATATATATGCCAAATAATATCAAGTTTATCATTATCAACCCCTGATATCATTGTGTGGTGTACAGTGAAGTGAGCGAATGATCCCTTAAACTCACTCAGTCTACCTATACTAAAAGCATTCAACATTTCAGCAGTCAATAAGGGACGACTTTTACAAATTCTTTCTATTTTGATTTGTTTACTCATATAACCACTAATATTTTCTGTGGCAGCTTTAGAATTCATACTTCAGCAATCCATCCAAATATTATTGATCATGTGCAATTTTTTCCACGTGGAACATGGTGGAATCATAACGGATATGCAATACTGAAAAGACGTTTTTCATTGATATCAACGAGTAAGTTACAAGATAGTGATAGCATAGCGAATAGTTAATTTTCAGGGTTATGTATGGAATACAGTTTTAAACAGCTATAGATGGTATCATTATTGTCTCGTCTGATGGCACGTTGCCATATGGCCACGTTCGCGGCTGAGCGTGCTCTGTCTCTCTGCAGGTAATGGACCGGCAGGGATCAGTCTGTCGTACCAGCTCGCAGGAAACCGGCCGTATTTCAAGGGGCGGTCGCATCACGACGACATTCTCAACCTGAAGCTGCAGGAGAAGCTGAAGGTGTCGCTGGTGGATCAGGTACGTGGTGGCGGCGGCGGCTGCGGCGGTGGTGATGTACTTGGCGGCGGCAGAGGCAGTGGCAGCGGTGTCCTGGCATGGCGCCAGCCGACCGCGCCCCCGGCCACTGCTGGCTGGCATGCCAGGAATATCGGGCCGGGATCTGGCATCGCTCCACTGCGTGCGTAATCTTTTTGCGCGTCTCTGCCACGACTAGACTGGCGCTTTTAGAATGTTTCTGTTCTCTGCCTATGTTAAATTAGGAAAGTCTGCATCTGTGTGTGATTGTAGGTGTGTGTCTGGCTGTCTGCGTGTGTCTGCGTGTGTCTGTGTGTGTGTGCGTGCGTGCGTGCGTGCGTGCGTGCGTGCGTGTGTGCATGCGTGAGTGAATGTGTGTGTGTGTGTGTGTGTGTGAATGTGTGTGTATGTCTTTGTGTGTGTACCTGTGAGTGGCAACCTTTAACAATGGAGAGAATGGCCTTGACCGCATGACTAATTTAAACGCCTTCACTAAACTACCTTCCTTGTATTCATGCAAGAGGGCAAGCCTAAGAAAAATCACCATAGTCTTCCAGGGAAGATATCCATCATTTAAGGCCTAGTTTGTTGGCCCCACTGAGAAACGTTTTGTTTCAGCACTGACCCACGTGCATAATAATTACATTAAAATGAATATAAACGGTTGTGTAAACAAGTGTTTTCGAATGTGCCCTTACCTTCTATCATGCTGATGAAAACTGTCTGAATGTGCTGCCCCCTGTAGGACATCGAGTATCTCAGCGAAGGACTAGAGGGTCGCTCCAGCAATCCCGTGGCGCTCCTCTTCGACACGCTCGCGCGACCTATGGCTGACCTTGGGCAGGACCATGAAACGCATCTAAGCTGGAAGTATGAGAGCAGCGAAGCCATACCACACGTTGTCCTCGGGAGAGGACCGCCAGGAGGAGCGTGGCAGGTGAGCAGCGATTGAACATGACCACGTTTAAGAAAGTCTCGAACCACCCAGCATCAAAAAAGTGTTGTTTCTTTTTCAAAAATGAATGATTTGCGATCAGTGATGAACACCTGTGTGTTTACATCTGAGAATGAGTGGTACTCATTTACGCCCTTGATTGAATTCTCGATGTGTGTATGTGAATTTCAGCTATGTGTAGCTGTATTCCAGCAAGGTGCATCTGTTAATAAATATAAAACGACTTGCAGCATTAATGGCTACACTGCTGAATAGCAGCCGATGTCTGCTTCATTGATTTTAACATGTACTATTGAAGCCTGGTTGTAATATTGTTTCCGTGGGGACGTTTGCAGATGATGAAAGGAGAGATGCTGACGTTAAGCCTGGGTAGCTGGATGGAGCTACCCGACTGCAGCTTCAAACAGTTCCTACATAAACTACACGTGTGAGTATACTGCACTGCTTCATGTCTCAGCCCTGCAGGTTTCGTGATGCTGAAATATTTTCGCTAGTTGCAAAAAGAGCTTTGCTGAACTGGTTATTACCGGTTATTTTCTCAGTGCCTGTTTACTTTGCTAGGATTAGTCACTTGAGTGATTCCATCTGAAGTCTTTCATACTCCTGGAAAAGTTCCAAATATTTGGAATGATTTCCAGGGCATGAAATCCAGGTCCAGAGGGCTGGTAACAAGTTTTTTACCAGCCCTCACAAATAAAAAATAAAATAAAGATGAGGCAGTTTCACTGACCATTGCTTGTCCGAAAAATTTTGTAGTGTGCGGCATTGCATAGTAGCTGTTGAACAGACTATAATACAGATCGTGAATGATGACCGAAGTGTTTTGTCAATGTCATGTTTCATGCTTGCATTCTCGATTTCATATGTGTAAAATTTTGATAAATTATGGCATGATATCCTTCAGGTAAAACCGTAATGTAGGCTAGTATTTGCTCGTTAATGCTATAAATGAAAATGTAGGTACTTCCTAACACAGCTGAAACCACCGGCTCGGAGGGCCGGTGTTTTGCCTATGTTACTGGCCCTCCAAATAATTTGCCAGCATGTGCCAGTGGGCCGGTGCTAATTTCGCGCCCTGGATTTCTAACCTTATACACACTGATACACATTCGTCTTGTATGCTAGCTTTATTTAAACTAGTTATCATTATCATTTGAACTTTATACTTCTTGGAAATTTTTTTCGAATCTTTGAAGTGATTTCGCAATAAATGCACACTGAATTACTGATACACATCAGTCTTGTTTGCTAGCAATATTTTGAACTAGTTATCATGAGGACTGCACCACCGCGTTATGCAAATAAGACCAATGATTATTAGGGTGACAGTGCAGACGTACTATTGAGTCAGAAACATCTCCCCATATTTATCTGTCCATCAGGGAAAAAAAAAAAAATTTATTTTTCGGGGGCTAGTTTTCAAGCTCGCGTGCACGAAAATAGCACTCTGAAATTTGGTTTGCATTGAACTCTATGCAAATTTACGGGGGCTGTTTTTGGCATTTCCGGGGCTCTTTTTGGCATTTCGGGGGCTAAATCGCCCCGAGCCCCCGTGTATTTTTTTCACTGCTGTCCATCCCTATTGTAATATGACTATCACATTACCAGATATGCAGAGTTTGTGACCGAGTATAATTTAAGTGTACTAACTTAATAATAGGGATCCCATGTAGCTGCGGTAGATAGAGTAGCCTTTGTCACCTGTATTTCGTAGCAGTGGCAAGTACAACATGCCAAGTTCTTGCGATCGCCACTGTATTGTAGCAGAAACGTCTGCAGCATGCAATTATCAGTGCATTATGCAGTGTCTTTCCTGTAGCGGGCTAATTTCTTACGATCGCAACTGTCTCTCGCAGCGCCAACAGCAGCGGCCGGCCACGCTCCGGGACGATGACGGGCATGCCGCCACCAGGGGTCGTGCCGAGCGTGAATCGCGCTTCGGTCGCCGACGTCGCCAGCTACTACCAGCACTACGTTCGCGCAAACAAGCTCGAGCCGTTCTTCCGCGACGCGTGCACGGTCACGTCCGTCCGCAGGCTGCCCGCGAGGGGGCACCACGTGTATGACTGCGAGAGCGGCGAGCTGGAGACAGACGGCTGCTGGGAGGAGGAGAAAGGAGAGGACGAGGAGGACGAGGAGGAGGAGGGGGAGGAGCCGTTGTGGGAGGTGCGCGGCTTCGAGGACCGTGGCAGCGGCGCTGTGATGCCCTTCTGCTACCACGCCGCGAACGTGGTGCTCGCGACGGGCACGTTCGACCGGCAAAACCGGCTCGCCGTCGACGGCGAGTCGTGCGCGATCGTGCACCACTCGGTCGCCGAGCTCGGCGCGCTGCTCGCGAGCGGTGACCTCGCGCGCGACCCCAACCCCGTGCTGATCGTCGGCGCGGGGCTGAGCGCGGCCGACGCGGTGCTGGCGGCGCTGGAGCGCGGCGTGCGCGTGCTGCACGCGTTCCGGCGCGACGCGCGCGACCGCGAACTCGTGTTCGCGCGCCTGCCGACGGCGCTCTACCCGGAGTACCACCGCGTGCACGCGATGATGCGCGGCGACGAGGCGGCGGCGGCCGGCGGCGGCTACCGCGCGTTCGCGCGCCACCGCGTGCACAGCATCCGCGACGACGGCCGCGTCGTTCTCGCGAGCGTTGACGGCGAGATGTTCACGACGGTGCGCACGTCGCGCGTCGTCGTGCTCGTCGGCTCGGCGCCCGACCTCGCGTTCATGCCCTCCGGGGGGCGCCACCTCGGCGTGCACGCCGACCAGCCGATCGACGGCAAGCGCAACCGCTTTGATGCCGACTGCGTGACGTACGAGAGCGCGAAAGAGCGCGGCCTGTTCGCGATGGGCGCGCTCGTCGGCGACACGTTCGTCAGGTTCATCGTAGGGGGCGCTCTCGGCATCGCGGCGACGCTCGCGCGCCGGCGAAAGCTTCTCGCCGCGGAGCGGTAGCATTTAACCGATCTCTTGTTTTAGAGAGACTACCGTCGTGCGCTTGGCGATTGTGTATACGGTTTTTCGTATTTCGGCTTTTGCACGTGTGCGTCGTGTTTCTAATTGACTGTGATAGTGGGTTTGTCGTCACCACGTAGTGCAGCTGCGGGTTAGGTGCGAAATAATATATCTAAAAAGTGCATAAATGTAAACGAAACGCAAACAGGGTGTGAGAGATGTCGTAATGCGGTTGTTTTAAATAACCGAGTTCGATCGTGTCAAAAACTGCGTAAATCCTTGAGTTGTAGTCGAGCTTGCAGAAATTTTAATTCATATCAGTTATTGTTAGTTTGCAGACATATCTCGTTGGTTAACGCACAACAGTCCCAAAGGGGCTGGACATATCATCGAGATATTATATAGGGATACAACCGTTATCAGTGTCCCTCCCTTCTGTTGATGTTTATTTCTTGATTTAAGAAAATACCTTTAAATGGTGAACTAATGTAAAGAACCAATGACCAGTTATGTTGGTTGGCCAGAGGTGTAGATATATAGATACTGAATGCACTTGCACTCATAAATTGTTTTTCTAGCACAAATTATTTTATTATGTATTGTGCTAATACTGTAAAATTATGAGTTGGATGAGCAGGGACTAAAAATAGTGAAAATGCATATTGAAACATCAGGGAAGTCTCGAGTTAGTTGTGTCAGACAGGGTCTGAAGGCATGAAGCATACTGTGAGGAAAGGGGGAAATTGTTTCGTAAATCTGTTCGTATTTTTATAAAACATATTTTATATAGGTTCAAATTTGCAGAATTGTTGCAATTATTTGTTGAAAGGGTAGCACTGTCAATGATCAGTTGTTAATATATGGCAGTATGTAGTCACACATTTGTAGGAAGTGCCTTGAAAAGTGACATGAAAAAGCGTTAAAAAAGAACACACGAGTATGTACAGTCATCTAAACACTCACAAATCAATGGGAATGTATGGTTTTTAGCGCATCTGACATAGTCAGATGCAGCTTGTAGAATCGCATGATTGTGCGTGTGTCCGTCCGTCCGTGCGTCCGTCAACAGTTAAGCACAAATCTAAACGGCTCGACGTACGGATTCGAAAGTCGGGACGTAGGTGGGTAATCCGAAAACGAGTTGCAGGGCGTCAAGTTCCTATTTTTCCCTATTTTTTGGGCAATTCCTATTTTCTCCTATTTTCTGGACAAATTCCTATTTTTTCCTATTTTTGAGGGCTTTTCATTTTTCTGAATCCAGAATTGTATGTATCCTTCTCAGAATGCAGGAATTTACATTTCAGGTGACCCAATTTTCACAAAATTCCTGGGGGAGGACCCCCAGACCCCCGCCCCTTACTTTAAATTAACGTAATATACTCTTAACTATCACAGATTTTATTTCAGTAAAGTTGTTTCTCAGTTGGATGTGGTATGTGTATCCAGAGGGGGGTCCAGGGGGTCCGGACCCCCCTTTTTTACCCCAAAAAAGGGAAAACACATAGAAGATAATTTTCTGCTTAAAAGTTTGGAATTCCATCTTGCATTCTAGACATCAAAATTACTGCTCAGATGCTCTCAGAATGCACAAATTTTTAAAATTTTTCTTGGGGGAGGTCCCCCTAACCCCCCCCCCAAGTTGCAACGTGCCTTAGACACGTCGCATAAGCTGCCTTCGGCACCGTTTTATAAAAGTGCCCTTTATTTCTTACTGGACCCCCCTCTTTTTCAAAAAGCCGGATCCATCATACTATTTTGGAGTAGTCTACATGTATGGGTGTTTATGCATGTATAGCTTATCAATGTATTATGTTCAATGTAATTATGTATGTATGTGCTTATCAATTTTAACATGCGTTTCTCATTAAAACCTCAAAATATTGTTCGCATGTGATGTAACTCCAAATATGTATATTAATAAAACCATTTGTGGTGGATCAGGATGGCTGTAGGGGTGTTGAGAGGCCATCTAATCCAATAAATATTCCTATTTAACATATATTTTCTCACCAAAATTCCTATTTTCCTCCAATTTTTTCACATCTGAAATTCCTATTTTCCTATTTTTTTGAGCGTCACTTGGCACTTGACGCCCTGGAGTTTGGATGTCGAAGCTGGGGGGTCAAAGGTCAAAGGTCAAGAGGTCTAAAAGAAGGGGAAACATTCCCTCCTTAACTTAAGGTATAGGGAAGAAATGCAGAATTGCAGCACAAATCTAAACGGCTTGACCTATGCTCGGTGTACCTATTAATATTCGGTGTATAGTGTGATGGGCAGGAAACCCATCACCAGTGCGAAATTGGAGGTCACAGGTCAAAGAGCAGTGGGGGAAAGGTCAGATATCAGACATTTTCTGAGGACATGGGCTAACGGACAGAGTGGAAAACTTTTTTGTTTCAGCGCTGACCTACCATTTTTATCACTTTATTGAAAGGACCATGAAATGTGCTTTCCACTGACATGCGAAGAGTAAGTGTCTGATAACCTTTTGACCCTCAAGAGGAGGGTTAAACATGGATTCCTGAACTGCCTCAATGATGTCACAGTGTTCTCATATTCATGGCACATCCATAATCCAGAGAGACATGATACAAGATTGCGTGGCACAGCTTTGCTGTTGATCCTAAGCGCTGCGCGCGGATTAGACGCGCAGTTCCGCGGGATATGCGCACGCGACCGCGGAGATGTTCAAGTATTTTTCTGTCTTTATCCATTTAACTATTTTTCCCCAATTAACGCAAATATTTACATGATTTATTTACAACAATGTAATAACAAATAATTTTTACAATTACTTTTTTTTTAATAGGGTTAGGGTCACAATGCACCATAAAACAGGAGTTTCAGGAACGCGATTTGTATCAACTAATGGGATTTGGGAGGTATGCAGAATGCAGAAGGTTGCTGAAATGATGTGTACGCAACTGCGTATCTGCATATCTGCGCCTAACAAATGTGTCACTACGCACGACTGAAACTTGACGTTCATAAACGTAGCAACACACCTCAGATGAGCCCAGTCGCTCTGCGGCTGTTATTCTTGTATTGTTTAACACAAACAGTTCTAGTACAGATTTTTTTTAAGTTGGAACTGAACAGCTTTCTTTGCTTATATTATAAATAGGTATACAAATTGTTAATATTGCGTATGCATTAAACAAAAAACATGTAACAAGCCAATGTACTCACTGTAATTCTTTAATAATTGTGAAAGCTGGGGTCATGTTACACGGTACACCTTAATACTTAGGGAGTCTGGTATGTATAAAAATTGCAATAATAATGACGAACACTGGTACTTGAGCATTCATTTCTTGTGTTCAGGATCTGACAAAAGCACAATCAGTTGCACAACAGCTGTATATTACAACATTTAACTTGTATCTGTTAACATGTTAAACTGTACATTACATATTTAGTATATTTACCAGATTCATGCTATCAAGAATATGAAACAATGCCAACTGAGGACTTGAGAATCGAACCAAGCCCCTATACCAGTAAGAATGACTAGACGAAACTGGCATGCAAAGTTTTTAGAATTCGTGCAGTGTGCAGAAAAATCTTTTTGTGACAACAATATATGAAGATTTTACTCTCACAGAGCTATTACCTCTGTGCCATGACCCAGTACAGAAACACAAAAATTCCCAGTTCTCATCTCTGCAGCAGCTCTTAGTAACATTTACTGTGCAATGCATAAATTTACATGTGGCCGACCGTATGGCGGTGTAACTGATCAGGCCTCTAATGTACACACTGTTTGGGGTGCAATGGTTCCCTTGAATGGCTTGAAAATCGTTGTTAGCTGACCTTTGTTGTTGTGCTATGATCCAATGCTGTATTTGATGAGTCACTGTTAATCTTTCTGTTTGCTTCTTTAGATAATCCATCCATAGCAGCCCTAGATAGTTTATCCCCAATTGATATCAAACTGATTTCTTCCTGGTGCTCCTTAAATCTGCCTGCCGCAACAGGCTTCCCAGTTATTGGGTCGGTCACCGCCCCGAGAGGATAAACAACCTGCGACAAAGGATGCTTACGATCGATAATTAGTTCATAATTTGAAATTAAAGCTGTGTAACCAGAATTGAGACTTCTAGTACAGCACTGGATTTCCAATGATCAACTCCAAAGCTGTGCTAGCGCAACCTAGAGAGTCTCGCTCATGTCCCACCTAGCACTGTTAATGTAAACTGTTATTTGTCTTGCCAGCTATCTTTTACAGCAAAGCATGGTAGGCCACACCTTTATTAGCACCATGTGATAATGAATGTCTTTTTAGGGATCGTTCTGCTTAGCCGACAAGCTTTGGGAACAAATCTTGTCCAGTAATTGAGGTTTGACAGTATTCCAGCAAGTTTTAAGCCTAACAAAATCTACCCTCTTCCCCAAAATGTATCTAATAATTTATAATTAATACTAGTTTGATCATTAATGCTATCAACTTAATGTACATACAGCAAGGTATTGGACGACTATTCTACAATTACGACTATTCCATTATTCACGACCAAATATTATACCTTTTCCACAATGTGTGTCACGTCCAATGTAATACGTTCTGACAGCTGCCGTATAAGTACAACATCGCCAATTTTAATGGTGTGATCCTGGAGATTTAGGGCAGCATGATAGTCTTTCCTTTTCTTGAAGTACTGAAATACATGAACATGTTCATAGTGAAAATCAATTATGCACATAACTAGTGATGTCCCGATGATCGATTATAATCGAAAATCAATCGATTATAGTCTCAAATTCGATAATCGATTATGAAAACAAATAATCGATTATCGGAAATACTAAAACAAACAAACAAACAAGGAACTGTACTCACGATGTGTGAATTGATATGACAAGTAGAGCACAAGTCCTGCAGGGGCCGATTGTCAGAAACATTGTTAAGTTAATGCTAATGTTAATGCTACGAGAGTAGCGTTGACAGAAACACATCGTAGCTACGAGCAAACTCACGAGAACAGGAACTTCATAATTTCATGTCACAAGGCTGCTGATTGGATGAGAATCAATCACAAAATTCAAATTCATACACATTTATTGTACATCACAGTAATTTATGCATATTATGATGACTAACCACATATAAATAATATTTGATGAAAAATGACGTGGTCATGAATTTATTCTGCACAACAAGACAAACTCTCGCGCTGTAACATGAGACGCGAAAGTTTTGGCAAGCACTAGCCTAGCTGGTCACCTCGTGAACAAGAAACGTGCACGGCTGAGTCCTAGCAATGTGGACATGATGATCTTCCTAAATCGCAACATGGACATGTATTGGTAGCGAAGTAGAAGTGCATCAGTGTGTAGTCCAGAGGACACCTTCATGAATCACTGTTAACATAGGTCCTGTCTGATTGCAGAGCTGTACTAGTGTACTTATAGACAAGGACAAATTGAACAGTGTCTTTGTTTTGGTTTGACACTGTCCCACAGATGTTATCCGTAGATGAGATTCTACTCTCCGTATTGTTTGTTACATTGTGTTGGAGAGGATATTCCATTGGCAGGACATTAACTCGGCTACACAGCCTACACTATCAGAACACAAACAACTTGCTTACTATAATAAAGAACAAGTCTTGATCATGTTTGTTTAAAATTTTTAATGTTTTAATAAAGGCATTGTAACCATTTCTTTTTTAATTGATTAAAGGCTCACAATGTGCATCCAAACGCTAATTTCTACAGTACTAGACTAGAAAATACTTCGTGGCATGAATAATCACACTACCTTATGACAAAATAAACTCTAGCTCCTCCAATTTCACTGCGCGTTGTCTTATAAAAGGTATTTTGAAAATACCTCCAATGTTGTTGAAATTCTCCGATGTTGTTGACAGTTTCCCCAATCTCCAAGCAACCGTGCAGCGGTGGCGCGGTACAGCGGTACGGGCGCAGCAAAGATAGAAACATGTGACGTCACCAAACCAAGTCGATGTTATGTTGTTTGAAACAAGTTAGCGTTGGCGCCTGATTACCTGATTTCGCACCTCTTTCTTGTTGGGAACGCGCAGTCAAATGGGAGGAACTAGAGTTTATTTTGTCATAAGGTAGTGTGATTATGCATGCCACAAAGTAGTTGCTAGTCTAGTACTGGAGAAATTTCAGCGTTTGGATGCGCATTGTGAGGCTTTAAATACTGTATAGGAACAGACATTGATATACATACAGCAACCTTCACAGAGTTAATACATGATCATAAAACATGATAATATCAGGAGTGCTATGTATAATTGTATATACAAAGTAAGATTAAATTAAATCTATGCTATTATTAACCGATTATCCGATTATAATCGATTATCGATCAGTTAAGGGAAACCGATAATCGATTATGAAATTCCACCCGATTCCCATCACTACACACAACTCACACAACTACTCTGTCGCTGCACAGTTTGTAACATCTGGTCAAAAGAGAGTTCAGTGGTCCTGGCAGTGGTTAACATGCCCACTTTTCACTTCAAAGCCTGTGCGACGCTGTTTGATGCTTCACACTTTGGCAAGGGCAGTAAATTTTACTCAAGGTGTAAAAACTCGTCACTCACTATTGTGGACTATGAACACATCAAGCAATGACTATGTGAAATAATGGGTCAATCGCTAATAATGACGATGAAAATGCTCAGTTACCTCTAGCAGTGACCACCCTCAATGTCCGTTAAGTTTTCAGCCTGCTGTAGACTCCTAAACTGCCTAATGTAGTACTCTCCCTCTGGGGCTAATCTAGTAATCAGACCTCAACTTTATACCTACACAGCTACATGGAGATGTACTTAACTTCCCACTATATCATGTGTAACGCACAACAAGAACATAATACATAAGATAACAGCACTATATATATATATAATTATATATATTTTATATTATAAATAAAAACACACGTGCTCGCTGGCACTCTCGCCGCTCACACAGACACGCTCTCGCACATGCACCTGCATACACACAAGCAGGGTTCTCCAAGAGCACTTATAAAATAGCCTGGCGGCCCGCCAGGCTATCATCGAGCCCCGCCATCCTAAAATGCACCCGCCACTCTAAATATCATAGCCACCATGCTAAATATCATAGCCCCCGGACCCCCCTAGCATGCAAACCGCCTTCGGCAATTTGCAACTATAGGACCGTAAAGGCAGCACCCCCATGCTATAATGAAAAAGCTTGGAGAACCCTGACAACCACATTATTTCGCGCGCTATCATATAAATCACGTAGTATTACAGTAAAACTCGCATAAGTCGACACTTTTGGGACCAGCATATTTGTGCCGACTTTGGAAAATAACGACATACGTGTAAGTCCTCATTTTGTAGACTTATATGTAAGTCGCCCAAATGATGACTTATGCGCGTATATCATCATTTTGACGATTTACAAAGCCGGTATTTCGACGACTTGTTACTCGGGCTCATAGGGTCTATGTCCCCCAGGGTACTGTTGAAACGTACCCTGGGTACGGTCTGGTATACCGGAACGTACCCTGGTCACTATTTGATATGGTTAGGGTTAGGATTAGGGTTAGGGTTTGGGATAGGGTTAGGGAGTAGGCGTGGGCGACTCCCTAGACTCGTTAGTGGAGTAGACGAGGTACGGTCCGGCATATTAGATAGTACCAGGGTACGTTCCGGTATACCGGTCCGTACCCAGGGTACGTTCCGGCAGTACCCCGGGAGACATAGACCCTCTCAGCGTCACTTGGAGAGTGTCAAACTGATAATTGATATTTCGCCAGGCTTTATATCTACATTAACTACTTTTGCGATGTGATGTGACTGTTTCCACGCGAGCTAAAAAAAACAATGCGTCCAAGCGAACAATGCGAATGAAACAATCGGTGCACACAGCAACAACTCATGTAAACTCTACAGGCGATCGTCGGTTCGACCTAGCACATATATCTGCAACAGGCAAATCGCACATCCCCTAGACCGTACACTGCGCCATCGGCATTTCTGATGACGACTTACAGATGGGAAATTACTGTTGTTTGTATTACATGGGACCTGTCAGAGGGCGCCGACTTGCACATAATGATTAATGACGATTGACGGATAGTTATAAATGACGACTTCGTCGGGCCAATTCCAATGGATTTACTATGAGAGAAAATCGGGACTTTCAACTTCCATGACGACTTATGCGATTTGACGAGTTAGACGATGACGACTTATGCGAGTTTTACTGTAGGCCTAGTAGTTAGTACTAGAAGTAGAATTACCATGTGAAGGTTGCGGTCAAACGCATTTTTAATCACACGGACTTTCGCCTCGTTTTCTTTTGGAAACTCCACAACCTGCCCAAGCACGAGGTGCACATCTTTGAAGGTTTCTTCCATGGTCCAAGCAGGCGGTATTACTTTTTTGCTCTTCTCAAATATCTCCTTTAGATTTCTTTTGGCCATTTTCAGAAAATCAGTATAAAATAATCTCAATATTTCATCGCATGACAAACAGGATGCGGGTGCTGTACCGAAATCGCACAGTGATGCCTGTCTCATACTGCCATCTCTCGGACATATGGACTAAACTCCTGCAGTACACTTGGCGTAGTGAGTCGAATACATAGAGTTGTATAAATATAAATTCAATATATAACTCTAATGGGTCTAATATATAACTCTAAGGGGTATATAACTCATAACTCTAAGGGGTATATAACTCTATATAACTCTAAGGGGTCTAATATATAACTCTATGGTCGAATACCATCTTTTTCCACAACCAGGTGCCGCTACACACTTAGAAAATTCTATGTATCAATGGTATGTAAAGTACAATATCAGATAGCTCGCACCAACGCGCTATGTATGCATAAATAATATTAATACTAAAATTATGAAAAACATCGAAATTAAATGGTTTTAGGCAAGGTAATGCAAAACTTGTGAACGTCGCCCGCGTTTATCTCATAACATGTGGGCAATGCGTATCGCCAGAGAAAGGGGCGCAGAAGAGTTACTGGCCCACCAGATGAACCGCCACCACCCAGTCGATGAAAAAAATATCAGTAACTCGTTAGGAACGATCTATGAACAAATTTGCAGTTGCGTTGCCTGCGATTGATTTAATAACGAACAATACTCGAGGATAGGGAAACCAAACGATTGTTAGGATCTTGCGTAAATCATTAACTACAATTTCGACAAGTCCTTGAGTTTTGCATTAAAACAATTGCTTTCATTTGCACTCAATGTATGGTTTCGCTTTTTAGATTACCGACATCTAGCAGTAATACTCATTTAACTGAATTCAATGCGAAGAATGTTAATCAGTGCGAAGTTGGCGCTAGAATACACGCTCGATACAAAGAGCTACAAGCGAGAAATGAATACGAAAACTGAAAAAAAAAAACATAAATACGGCAAGAACTATAAACTGATATACTATAGCTAAGTAAAGATGTGTACCTTCATCCACACGGATGTGAATGTGCGCACGTATACCGCCCGACCGCGTGTACGTGTTCGCCTGCAGGCGTGCGTGGATACGCGAATTTGCACGTACACGCATGCGCGCAGATACACACATGCATGCGAACACATACACTCACGCGCACACATACACAGCGACAAGCACATACGCGCATGTGCCAATGCATGTGCGAATACACTCCTTCTCACACATGCACGCCCAAGTGCATGCATACCTGGCATGGTTCTGAGAACAGATACGCGCGTACGTGCAATGGGCAAATCACGGTCGCGTGTATTTGCACACATGCGCGAGCGGACCCACGGAGCATGGGTGCGCAAAGACGGACAAATCCGCATGGGTAACCCATCAGATAGTCTAGTGACATGCAGCATGACAACACCACCACCTCGGCTCTGCGCTTGTGTACGAGTGCGCTTGTGACAAACGAAGTGAATCTGCAACGCGGCACCTAAGATTTCATAGCCACCCAAAGCTACCTTAGCATCCTTACCTGACCCGTTGTGTTTTAATACAATAAACTGTATTATATAGGTAACAGGGTTAGTGCCTGAAAGGGGTTAGGCTGGCCCCACCGTCAGGCAGATATCAGTAACTGGTCGGAGAACGACAATAAAAAATATATATTGGAATGAGTTACTACTCACTCCATCTGCGGATATATCGCAGCCACCTTAGATAAAGCTACTGCTACCTTTGCATTCGTAAAAGCACCAATTCTTCTCAGTGCATTAACTTCTCAAGTTTTACTCGGACAATAACATATGCGTAGGCCCTGCGGCACTCCCTGTGCTTCCAGAGAAAGAGCATACCCCGCTAATGCTTATTATTAAATTATCTCTATTCTTGAGAATCGAGGTTTTTGAAGATAAGAATGAGTTTCAGAATAAGCTAAATAAATTTGTAATAAACGATTTTAAATAAAAAACTTATATCCTATAATTAATTATATAACCAAACTGTTATTCTTTGGTAGTATTCTTCGAGTGTCACTTTTAAAATTCGGATAATCCAAGAGTCGTAGAGAAATAAAGAGGAGAATACTCTTGTCTCCTAACGCAGGACATGCTGGTCCGGTCTGATATTGTCATGTAATCTGTAGAACACCACTGGGTTCTGACAAGACAAATAAATAATAACCCTCAATCAGTTTTATCAGAATAACCGGGCAGCGCTGACCGGTACTCGTACCACGTAATAATCACGGTCCTGCCAACAATCATCAATACCACGATTTAGCGCATTGGCACTGACCGCAGAAGCGTTACACAATGAGCCTTTATCGACCTGCATGCCCAGCGCTTACAAAAGACGGACGGCCATTTTCGTGCCGCTGACGCGTGGTGCTGGTGGTGGTGCGCAATTACGAGCACAAGCACACACGCCTCGTCCGCACACAATGATCCATCCGTCCACGCGCCGCCAAGAATGGGGTGAGCTTCCCGCCTCACCCACCTGCTTCTGCCCTATCCAACACACATGCACATATACCGCTATAGCACGCGCCTTTGTATACCGTTAATCCGCGCAGGGTACCCCATACCGGCGTGCCAGCTGCCCGGAGAAATGTCAAACTGTTTTGTTATGTTAATCACGAGAGGTATTCGGGGGCGCTTCAAAAACAATAACGGTACAAAATGCGCCCGAACGCAATTCACGGACGCTCACAGTTGGCAAGAGTGTACTGGTGTTTCCATTGTACTAATCATGCCATTATGCTACGATGCAGGTGAAAAAACCGTTGGTCATTTGTACTGGGCTATTCAGCGTGTGACATGTTTACTAATTCGTTTATTTGGTCATTAACTCACTCATTTGTTCCCGCAAATCTTTATTTATCCCCTTTCTTTATACTCGTTGCTATTATTTATCACCGTTTGCTCTGACATCGCGAAATTGTTCCTCCTTTTTGTTATAATGAAAAGCTAACTCGCTTGTGTGGAGTGACTGGGTTGGAGATTGGACAATCAATTTCGCCCTCTATTATCTAATCGAGAATTGTGATATATGAAGTAATCGTATTCTTTGATTGGAAAATGGCATGTGAACATAACAACAATAACAACGACGAAGACGACAACAGCAACAAAAACAAAAACAAAAAAACACAATATTTTTTAGCCCTGTTAGCCTCTGTTGATGGCGATTATTTTCCGGAGTCCATCATCTTCATTCTGATTACGGTTTTATAGTTATTCTGTCTCTCACAATCGCTAATACAATCCTATTTAATACTAGAATTATAAGATAACATCAGGAGTAGATAATAAAAGATTCTAGAAGATTCTAAAAGATAATAGAAGATAATAGAAGATAATAGAAGATAATAGAAGATCTTCTATTATCTACTCCTGATAACATCTATACTACCTCAATTTCCCGTCGCGCTAAAGATATGCTGCACTAACTCGAGCCGAGATAGATTTGAATAAATAAATAAATAAATAAACAAATAATTAAATAAATAAATGCTCAATCACGCAAATAAATAAATAATTCAAAAAATAAATAAACAACAAATAAACAAATGTCTGTACAACGCTCGTCAGTGCGCACTCCGGTAACATCGTCGCGAGTTTCCTCGTACGTTGAACGTCGGTACATGGCCGCGCGTTCCTCTCTCATACTCACTACGCATTCTACTACATAGTACACACTATATTATATATATATACGCTATACCTACCAGGTTATCTACATGATAGTAGTCATTCATTCGCGCAGTCATCATAAGCCGGCGCCTGCAGCATGGCGTGGGAGCGCACGAGCGACGTGAAAGGGGGGAGGGTGCCGCGGGGGCGCCGGCGGCGGCGGACCCGCACGTGCCGCTAGCGGCCGCATCGACACCGTCATTACAAGCGTTACGGCAGATAACGCGCGGCGGGAGCAGGCGCATCTGATCGCCTGTTAAAAACCGCATGCAGACGTGCGCCGCGCGCCGCGTCCGTGCGTGAACGCTTTCTTGTTAAAATCGCGCGCACGCGGGCAATCTCTGATGCGAGAGATAGAACAATGCGATCGCTGTGACCAGTGGGCACCGTGGTAAACACACACACACACACACACACACACACACACACACACACACACACACACACACACACACACACACACACACACACACACACACACACACAC